TAACATGCTACTCAGCATACGCAACAGAGATTTTCATTTTGGTTTTTTACGCATATGCTTTGCCAGCTTTTTTCCCTGCGATACTTCAGTACGTTCGCAGCATCACCCGTGGCCTGGTCCGTCACGGCACTGATGTAGCGGGGCCCGGAGAAGTTGTGCGTGTGGCACTCGTATTGCGCACACGTGATCGGGCAGGGTTCCTTTCTCGGACACTGCCGCACTTCGTGCAGGGGGCCGCAAGCCGTTCCTTGTGCGGCAGGTCCCGCGGACAGTACCTTCCGCTCGCGACGTTGCGTGCCCCCGTCGCCACAGGTCACCTATCATACGGAAAACTCCTAGCGAACGATATTTATTGTCATGCTGGGAAGATAAACGCCAATCTACAACTTTTACGTACACCTAATGCGGATCTGGTGTCCCTCCGAGACAAAGAGGTAGGTTCCCCGGAGGCACACATAAAACCCTACGTCATCCGCAGACCGATCCAAAAAAGTACTCCAAGCCGGTGCACGTGCACCATCTACCAATAATAGCCGCGTCCGCGGAGGTAGTGAGGTCATGGCGGTCTTTTTGTCTTCACGCCAAAAAAGACGCAACTTCTCTGCCCACCATGCCATCGCGGGTAATGCTATGCACGACGGCACGGCGGTCGCTAAAAATCTCACTCCAGAGCTGGCCTCCATTTGGTTTCGAATCGAAAAACCTTCCCCGCATGCTATGGCCCCGCCAGGGCCCGCGCCAGGGACGGACCCTTGGGAGCCCCAAATCGGGCCCATAGCATGCGAGTTGGCTTTTTGCTTTTGGCGGACTTGGTTTTTTTGTTCTTTTTTTGGCAAAATGCCGCATCTTCTGGCCTTCAGTCCGCCTCTGAAATGGCGGATTTTGGTGGCGTCTTTTGCGAGGCCCGAATGTGGGCCAAAATGAGGCCCATACTATGCGGATTCGCTGTTTTTTTCGGAGTGCTGCTTTTTGGGCGTCCCTTTTTGGGCGCCCCAAATCGACGGAAACAGATGCGGCGGGCGCCTCAGAAGGGTGCCCCTTTTGCCGGCTCCGCTGCGTCGTTTTATCAAGCGCGAATCGATAGAATTGGCTCGGGCTTTTTTGACAACAAAGCCCCGGCCGCTTGATCAATGGAAATCTTTTATGCTCAGAAACACCTCCGGCCACTTGAAAACTGCCGGTCGTTTTGGATAAGACATGTCAAAAAGATCGCTAGATTAGAACGTTCGTGACCTCACTACATACAACTTACCGCGAGGATATACTTATGGTAAAATAAAATACGCATTGTATATCATACTTTAATTTATCATGTTATCCCTACTGTACTACAGCATGACAAATATGCTAGTGCGCTAGCAGTTTGCAACAGGGTATCACCGAGCAAGACGACCAGGGCGTCCAATCGGAGAGTTTGCAATCTTCGTCACACACCGGATTCTCGTGGCAGAACCGACTTTGGTGATACTTGTGGTCGCCCTTTTTGGGGCACGCGTTCCCCCCGTGGGCTGCTTCCACCGCCACGGCCCGGGCACGGTACCGGTGAGCCGGCCCGCACGTCGCCGAGCAGTCACTCCACGGCGTCCAATCCCCTAGCACGCAATCGACGGGGCAATGTGGCGGGTTCTGGCAGCTGATGGTCTGCGTGTTTTGATCCGCGGGCGGACAGGGGTAGCCATTTGCCTTCATGTCCACCCGAACTTTGCGGGTCCGCGTCTGGCGGCCGTCCGGGCCGCAGGAGACGTCACAGTCGCCCCAATCGCCCCACGGCTCCATCTCGCAATCGACCGGACACGGGGGAGGCGGCGGAGTGCAGGACCGCGCTTTTTGTATGTCCCGGCAGCGATTCGCTTCAGTTGTCAGCCACTGCGGATGCGTGATCACTCGCCGCTTCAGGTACTGCTTCCCCTCTAGGCCGCAGGACGCGCTGCACGTACTCCAGTCGTTATTATCCTCCTGGCGGCACGGAATTTCCGGCGGACACCGTTTTTTTTGGCCCTGGTAGCCCAATGCGTCTGGACCCGGCGACACTTGCCACAGCGTGCCGCACACCCGCCCGCCGTTGGCGGGAAAGGTTGTAATTTCGGCCCACTGATAGACTTCGCAAAATGGCCCGCACGGGCTCGCACACCACGCTGGCTGGTGACAATCACCGCTGTTCGTGAAGCCTGAGCGCTTGCAATACCAGGGAGCGGGATTATGCCACGCGCCGGTGTTGCGCTTCAATTCGCAGTTTCCATCCATGCAATGCAACTGCGAGTAGTGCCAACACTCGAGATTGTCTTCACAATCGGCTGCACAGTTAAAGTCGTTCCAATACCCCGCTCTAGCTCCGTCAGGAAAAATATTGTGTGAAGAAGTAGTCCCCCACCCATAATCAAAAAGAACGCTTGTGAAGATGCTGATTGTGTACAACTACACCAGTCAGGAGCTATTTGTCTTGCAAGAAGGCAGCCTGCAGCTGCTTCAGCTCCATTGTGGTAGCGATTTGTCATGAGCCGGCCCTACAGGGCAGTCGCTTGCCGTGCAGAACGACTAGACTTGAACGCCCCCCTCGTCCAGCCTTAGAGTCTAGCCGTAATCCGTTACCTCAACACAGAGCTTATTTGTGAACGCACATCCAGTATGAGAAACTTCGTTTTGAATATGGGGAGGGGGAAGAATATTGTATTTTGGTAGAAAATATCGGTTCCCCCTCCCACATCGGTGTAGTCGACCCCATTGTGCAGTCCTACGTCACACAACTTGTAAACGGGTCCCCCTCCTGTCTGCGTCATCGGGTTTTGCACACAGTCCACCGGCGGAGGGTCTACCCGCGGGCAGGGGGCAGGCAATTCGTGGCCGTTATCTCCCGTGGGAAAGCGGTCCACTTCCACCAGCTTGTGCTGATCCGTCTGCCTCTCCGAATACGTATTAAACCGACGCAGCTTCTCGATGTCTGCGTCGCTCCAAGCATTTCGCTTCTCCGCAAAATACCTCTCAGCGCCGTTCCCGTCGCTATCCATTACAAACTTTATGTCGGAGTCTGGATAAAAGCACGCGAAGTTGTGATTGTCAACATGCCGGGTGATCAATGCATGACAAAACGGCCTCTTGCATGGCGCGAACGCATCAAAAGCTTCTCACATCTCATTGCGACTTCTACCGTATTTCGCACCACAAACTGGCTTCATCCAGCGTGACACGAACAACCGCCACTTGTACTCACGCATCACAGATCTTGTTGTCCTTCAAAATTTGCATCACAAATCCAAACCAGACATATTTGCAACGCATAGTCGCAGGCAGTCTTCTCCACCAAACGCGGACAAGGCTGGCCGCCCGGCTTTCATGCAGCCGTCAGGTTTGAAAGCGACGAATATTGTTGTGATGGCAGAAAATGCACTGCACAAAATGAAAATCTCTGTAGAGGCGTATGATGTACTTAAGCCCAATTGGAAGCAAGTAGAGTGTGTTGGGCAGCTAGAGAGCATACCATAAGGTGGATCAGCAGCCCCTGTAGTTGCGCCAACATGTGTCGATTTCAAACCTGACACTCGCGTAGCCTTTGTGGGTGGGTTATTCTCCGCATCCGCATCTTAAAACCCCAGTCGGAAACGACGGTTCCGCTGGACTGCCACGTGTTCCCAATCCGCTGGTAGAGGGGCTGCGGGGTGGTGCACTTTAGCCGACACGTGGGCGTTATCAAATGCAAATATGTCTGAGTCTGGAACATTCTGCGACTTTTCATTCACGTTTTGTACGACCCATGATGTCTGTGATGCAGGCCCTAGCATCACAGATCTTTTGAGGGCTGCTTGAACTTGATGCTTATTCCGCATGACAAATGTCCTTTCCGCGTAGCAAGAATTAGCCTCCTTTTGCTGCTCATGCAATACAGATTTTTATTTTCTTGGAATTGAAATGCAGCAGCACAAGTTGCATTCTTCCAGAGCCAGACATTTTTGCAATTGATAGGAGTCCAGTCGGACCACGCTCCCACCTTGCAGTCCAGCAGGGGGCACTCTTGGGTATTGCAGGGCTTGGTTTCCGACCGCGGGCCGCACGGCGTGCCCGTCCCCTCCGGCTGCTGCGTGACCAGATTCACCCGGACCTGCAGCCCCGACCCGCACGTGGCACTGCACTCTCCCCAGCTCCCCTGCTGCTGGACGCAGTCCACGTTGGCCGGCGCGGGGCAAGTCCTCAAGTCCGCGGCGCACCTCTCGCTCTGCTCGGTCCCGCAGTTACTGGTCCGCCGCCGCGTGCCCTTCTCGGCGCCGCACGTCTTGCTGCACGCCGACCACTCCGCCCAGGTCGTGTCAACGCAAGCCTTGGCCGATGCTCTTGCCTCCTCCCCAGCGGCTTGCTCGACGCCGGCAGTGAGAAAGAAGACAAAAACGAAAAAACCTGTGGACAAGGGGCAGCACATGGAACTTTTTGGCCAACGAGAACTTCTACAGGGAAGTTGAAGCTGCATAAATCTTCGGAGTGATCCCTTTTTTATCTTCGTGGAGGTCAACCCGTTATTTCATTCTACTAGGGTTTATAATTTTCCCATAGCAATACTAGTTTAGGCAGCAAACCTTCCCGAAGACCGGACGCCCCCCCGGAGTGCTGTACTGCTACTGCACAGCTACTTGACATAGCGCCACCCCCCAAGCCTCCGACCACACACAAAAATGTTCTACTTTAGTATCCATACGGATCTTACAAGCATTGATTTCTCGCTCCATGATGAGAATGAAAATGAATTGCGTGTGCGCTTCTTAAGGTGAGAGGGAGAATGAAAATAGACGCAAAACGAAAACAAAAGTTCTTGTGCTGGGCTTTTTCATGAACTCGGATGATAGTTCTTTCATCTTTTTGCCGATTTACAGAAAGAAGAAAAGCAATTCATTTTTCTTCTAACGATAAATGGGACCAAGGTGACGCTTAAAACAGAAGACCACACAGCAGGCAGAAGAACATGATTAGCAGCTAATCGTACCATCTCGCACCAGCCACACACATTTAGTAACGCTGTGAGAGTAGTTTCTTGATCTTCATCTCTTTTCTGCCAACACATGGTGGCAGCGTCGAAAAACAAAGCAGGAACGCGATTTTTGGGTGCGGCAACAGTTCTGTGGTGCGCGCCACCAGTGCCCCCTCTGATCCTAGTGTAAAGCAGGTCGCGAAGTAGAGCCGAAAGTGAATTATGCGTCACGGGCACCTCTTGAATGTGATGACTGGAAAATGATAAATATGTTTCGTTCTTTTCACACGGGATCCGTTTCTTCCACCTCCGGACAAACGTGCATGCCCAGACGCGCTACGCACTCTCGCCGAAATTCAGCCGGCACAACACGGAAAAAGGCGGCCGGCAGCCGCATTATGCGATGCAAATAGTACGTCTACTGGGTCAGCTGGATCGAAACTGCAACCTTCTGACTCTGCACATGAATCTGCGTGACGCAAGATAGAATCTCTATGTGTAAATAGTTCTTTTGCACACGTAGTAAAAATGCCAAAATTGCAAATTTATTTGCATCAGTGCACGGAATGGTCGTGGAACATGCCATGGAAGATGGGCCAGCACACTGAGAAGCCTAAGCCCAACATGTGAAGGTGCGGATGTTTTCGCTTACATCAGAAACAGAAACTGTCTGGATGTAAGGTGCATGACAAAGTTCTGCAGTCTTCCCAAAAGTGGTACTGACCGAGACGTATTTCCAGTTGATACGCGTCTGTACGGCCCAGTTGCGAAGGCGACGGTTGCTATGCGAGTGCACAAGGATTCCGCGTCGTTGTCATTTCTCATGCAAAACGCAAATTTCACTCTCTATAATTGCCTTTGAGTTTGAATTTTATCAACATCATGCATGACACGTTCTCGTATCGAGACGTCGGCCCCAGACAGCAATATGTGTAAAAGATTCGTCGTGCGCACGCTTTGGTTACCAGATCATGCCAGATGAATCTTGACAGGAACAACGGGCAACAATTGTGCACTCGCATACTTTCGCCAGCTCTGTCGGAAGGGAAGATGCCAGTCCGGGTCGTCGTTCCGCAGGAGGCGCAGCCAGGACAGGCACATGGCTCTGCGGATTCCGTCGCTAGTCACGTACTCGCGCTCTGGAAGCAGCCCGCGAAACGCAGCCTCAAAAATCACTGATGAGTGATTATCCATGCTTTTCTCGCAACTGGGACTCTTGTTCGTGTGCTGAAGATCATCACGCTGCTCTTGCTGCTCAGTGGACGTGGCGGCCGTACTGGGACGAGCATCTGGATTTATTTTTGTTGCCACAGGAGCTTTATTTTCTGTACTCGTATTATTTTCTTCCTCCGCGGCAAGAACTTGTTCTACCGTGGTTGTACTTGCAGAATCAGAGCCTTCTTGTGGACGAGGTTCTTTTTGACCATCATTCTGTTGACAAAGCAACAGATGAGGTGATAAAACGAAGCCCTCGCTCCGGTCCGCCAGCATTGCTTCGGCCACCAACAGTCGAATCTTGAGCGGCAAATCGATGTCGAACCGCGCTGCGTCGCGGACGATTGGAACGGCCGATCTACCGCTCGGGTCCAGGTGCAGCAGCGCTTCGATGCAGAGCACGTAAAAATTGGGTCGCGGCTGCTGGAGCCAGTCCTCGCGGACGGCTTGGACGACGTGGGCGACTTTCTGGTACTGCTTGCGGTACAGGAGGCAGCCCAGCAGCACGTAGACCAACTGCGCGTGCGGGGGCTGCGGTAGGAACGCACGATACTTGGCCACCAGGTCCACCGCTTCGTTCATTTTCTGGCAGTTCATGGCTAACGCGAGCAGCCTCGTAGTCAGAGTGCGCGACGCGGCCAGGGCCTTCGTGTGGCACGCGTGGGCGCTCCGCCGCCCGGTGTTGGGCGCGGAGGTCGTGGTTGAGGTCGAAATTGAAGTGGAGCTGGAGAAAGATATGCACATTGCAGAAGTACTACCGCACAACTTGCGTAATAGGTAAAATAAATTTTTGCAATTCAGATTTCATCAGAAGGAAAGGTGAAATTTGAATCTCACATTTGCCATGCAGATGCAGGTATAGAAAGAACATCTGTCGCGCCAAACTGCAAGAATCTGTACGGGTGGGACGCTACTTTTGCAAAGGGTAAGAGACCCGCCTCTATCCCTGCTGGCTTTATCGGCAGGTTTTCTGCCTGCGGATGCTCCTTCAGTGTCCTCGACGTCTGCGATGGGGTTGCGGAGCAATCCGAAGTTGTAGGCGATGTTCAGGGCGTGGAGGCACACGTGATAGTCGTCCGGCGTGCGCGCCTTCGCAAAAATCGGATACAAGTCGGTCAGCTTCGCATTGCTCGTGTTCTGCCCCAAAGGGGAAAACTTGCGCCGAAAGTCCTCCACCAGATCGTCGACCACCGAGGGCACGTCGGTTTTCTGGCCGCTGGGTCGCGTGCGCTCCCGTACGGAGGCGGCGTTTTTCCCCGCGGCGGAGGCCTCGGCGCGGAAGTGCCTTCGTTGTCGCTGTTGGTGATCTAGGAGCAGCTGTGCGGTCGTCGAAGTCAGGCTCCGGAGCCCGACGGCACTGCTTCCACCTCCGGCTCCGCCCGTACGAAGAACATAATTTTGGCGGAAAGAACCGACGGTAAAAAACGGAGGTAGTTGTAGTGGTACTGCTCGTTGGAGATGAACACTGTAGCAGGAGCTGCGCACATGCGGCTGCACTGCCGCAACAGAAAATGAACTTCTTGGTGCCGTGGTAGAGAAGTGGCAGGGAAGCCGGCCCCCTCGGGGTGCTTTCCCAAGTCGTCCTGCGGGAGGCAAGACGGAAAAGTTCTTGCCGCCCCTTGCGGTGCTGGATATATTTTTACAGGGTTTCTTGCACAACCTGGAAAAACCGACGTAACTCGAACTGTGTCTTCTCGGGAGCAGAAGCGACGGCACAGACGAGGAAGATGCTGCTACCCCAAACCCAACAACCCGCGTCCTTTTTATCAAAGGTATCATCTTGGGCTTGACGCGCCCTATCTGAAGTTGAACTTGTCGTCGTGGGGCCATAATAATTTTTGCTACGCCTACAACTTAGCAGACTGCTTTTTATTCGATTTCTTCTTTTTCTTTACGCGACTGTCGACGGCAAAAACGCGGGGAACAAATTATCGCCGTTCTTCATGTCACACAAGGAGAAAGCTAAAGTTCAGGAATTTTTTTAACGAGGTGATGATCCTCGTCACGATCTCGAAAGCCAAAACGCGGCATACGAAAGATCGTAAACGATACTATCATGATGCACACGACCACAATCAAAAAGCAGATCTTTATTACGGCACACAACGATCACATTTGGATCGGCTGCCATTGCTCCTACCGTAAAAACTTTTAATCAAGGAAATCGGTGGAAGCCCATTCATCTTCATGGTCTTACATATGAAACGAAACCTGGATCTTGCCACTAAACTACCGCGGCCACATGCCTCTGCAACAAAAATTTGTGTTTTTTTTCGCACGAACATCAAAAAGCAAATCTTCCTCCAAGAACAACATACAGGAGACTTTACGTTTGTTACAGCAAACGACAAAGCGACGGACTTTCATCCTCATGATCATCTTCCCCGGGAAAAATTTGGTGTCACAGAAGTTGCGTGGTACAACAAAAACAAAATTTCATGTACTATATCGTGACTCATTCATCTTCATCGTGGTGTGTTGGGAATAAACTAGAGCTGCGCATAAGAATTGTGTGTCCCTTGTTTATTCCTAATCCTGATTGATGACTCACGGCACAATACATCTAAATTGTTCTTGTTGGCGCTGCAACTTTTTATCTCGGCAGCCTGGATAAGGCTCAGGTAAGATTTAAGGTTTACTTACTTCTTTGGGTAGCAGGCGAGAACGATTCATATTAAGTAGGTCATGCCTCCACGGGTTGGGAGGTTCTTGGTCGTCTTACCCACAGAAGAGAATGACTTCCCTTGTGGCACGACCACGCGCCTGGATAAGGCGGGCAATATGATTGAAAGTGCTCTAGTATCTCTCGTGGTAGCATGGAGGTGGACGCTCGAACTGTCGCGGCGGCCTGGGCCTGGATGGAGGCTGAGCAAATCGAGGACATCGTAAAAATCAAATATAGTTCAAAGTTTCTTACTCTTAGAAGTGTCCGCGTCTTTTGTTCCGGGTGCGGGTTTTTTGCAAATGTAAACAGCATTCAACACGGCGTGTATAATAGGAGGCTTAGTTAGTGATATAATTCTGTAGTGATGAAATATTTTGTGGAAAACATGGCAGAAAAAACTGCGAGTAAAAGACGAACAGAAGCGGACCAGTGAAAGTACAACACTTTTAGTGATTTGCTCCCGGTTCACCAGCAGGAAGTGAGCCCTGGCCATCCGGATCCGTTCGCTGTTGACCAAAGTTTTCGGCAGTGACAAAGTTGCGAATTCGATTGCTCACGCTCGGCACCATTTCAGACGGGCTAACGTTGACGTTATCCACGTCTAGAACGCGTCGGAGGGACGCCTTCAAATCCTCTGAACCATACAGCTGGGCTTCTAATTCTTTCGGGCTACGCGTGCTGAAGCTTTGCGGTTGGTCGTCTTGGTGAGCACCAGCTTGAGATTGTTCGCGCGCCTTCTTGTCCACACGCGTTGCCTTCGACGTGGCCGTCACTTTCTTGTATGGGGGGACGCTATTCCTATACATCAACCTTACGGTAGTTCCAAAAATATTTATCTCCAAATATTTTTTTTTCTTTTCGATTTTCTCGCCGCGCAAAACCGACGTCGTTTTCTGCCGTCAGCGGCAACGAACGCACGGAGTTTGAACGACATTTCGACGACCTTGATGCGATGCCACGAGCCTCTTACGAGACGGAAAACGCCTTAAAGCCGGAGCTTCTCACTATACTTGCACTACACACGACGACGCAGAAAACGCACATATCTGAAACCAGGCTCTAGCATTAGCACTACCATTTCGATCGCGATCGCTGACCTACTTGATTTTGATCTGATCGCACGAGGGCATCCTGCACTTCTATCCCGCCCAGGGAGGCGGCGACGCGACTGGTGGTGAGAACGTGCACGACTACGACTAGACCAGGAGCCTTCATATCTACACACGACGCTAAGCCCTGCCCTAAAGGAGCGTAGAAGATCTCATCGAATCCACAGAGCCCGCCAGACAAGTCTGGACTTTTGCCTGCGATTCGTGGATACGGCCTGCGAAGTTCAGCTGGCAGGACCATGCGGCACAAGAGCGAGGAGAAAACGACGACGATGATGATCACGATGACCCGTTCGAGGACGACTACCTTCGATTGTCTCCTGCTTGTGCTTGTGGCCCTGGTGCGCAGCAAATGACTCTAGTGAAAAATGAACGTGAAGGGCTAGACTGTAGTGATAAATTTTCAGAAAAAAAATCAATGCGTTTCTCATTGATCATTTCGTGTGTATTTTCATATCCGGCACCCACGACCTGTTCGAACGATGGCGGCAACACGACTGAGCACGATATTCACGACAGCGATTTCGCAACGACAGACGATTATCACGACCACGCGTGCCGTATTTGTATTCCGCCCGGGGAGGCGGCTTGATCCATGCCGCTGGCTAAGACAAAACGAAGACGCAAGCGGGTACTTTCACTATGCACCAGAACCAAAACAACTACATCAACATCTACAACTGCACGCGCAAAACAGTGATGAGAAGACATGGCGCGAATGAACCTGATCTGCGCATGCGCTGCAACTAGCAGGTCCGCCTTTTGACGAAGACGCTTAGGGAAGCGAAACCACTTCGCCTCACCCTGACAAACGAAAGGAAACGTAAAAAGCTTCTATCTGCTTTGAGATCACGAGATGTCCGGAAGCAGAGGAATGAGTCTCAAAAACAAACTTAGACCTACAAATGCTTCCGTGCTGCATATTTATGGAGCTGCGTAGTCGACACTTCAAAAAGAAAAACACGCCGCTTAGTTTTCCAGATCTTGGACAAGGCAACTTCACGAGGGTCTTTTCATACACATTCACTTCACACCGTAACAGGGTCCCGGAGGAATTTTCAATTTACAAAAAGCGCCCGTCTTCTTCTGTCTCCCTCTAAATGAACATCGTAGTCTTCCTTTTTCTTTTCTTCGCTTCTCCTTCTTCGTGGTTTCAACTTTTCCGGTACATGTACATTTTGACTTCAAAAACAAAACATGTAATAGCAATTCGAAGCTGTGTTATAGTTTTTCGACATCTTCATCCTAAAGTCGGACACAAACATGCGCTCTTCCATTTCAAATCGCTACCGGTAGGTCAGGTCTTGCTTCCACGCAGGACGCACACTTTCTTTCGTTTTTTGCTTGTCACTTGGCCCTGTAGTCGCAGCAGGTGGTGGTCCCCCTGCTCGTGGTGTTTCAGGTTCAGCGTTGTCAACATTCTCAGATCTTTGCTCTTCTACTTCTTGCAGTAGCAGCACGCGGGGCAATTGGGTGGCCGCCTCGGAGAGTGGCACAACTACGCCGCTTTTCTTCTTCTTGCTGTCCCCGTGGTTTTTAAGATTGTTCATGTTCTTACCATTCTCCTTCCGCGCTGGCGCTTTTGAGGTCGTGGTCGAGGAGGTGGCGTTTCGTTTTTGATATTCTTCATCCACCTCCGCTGCAGCCCGTTTTATTTCTCCTTCTGCGTCAGAACCTATGACGCCGTACTCACCGTCACCCGAGGACCTCCCGGCGCCGTCGTTGTTTGTATAAATACATCGCTTTTCTTCTCGCATCCACCGCAACCGCCTTCGCCGCACCCGACATCAGCCCCTCGCGAAACCCCAGCATTCCCTCGAACTGCCGGCTGCTCGCCTCAGTCTGGGCCCGATAGTCTACTTCTTCTTGCTGTTGTTCAGGAGATGGCGCGGTCTGGTACTGTTCCTGTCGTGGATAGAACGAGGCTTCTTCGCTTTCGCTACGTGCTGGCCCCTCATGACCATTCGCTCCTGCACCAATACTCGCATCATGATGCGCAGTAGTTCCACGGCCCGTGCGCTCCAGCAGGTGCAGGTTGTACGGATGCTGCTTTAATCTCATCTCTACTTCTTTTTCTTCATTTGTTGCTGTTCCTACTTCCATGTTGCCATTGTCGTCGCGCAGTTCTTCTACTGGCGTTTACGTTTTCATTTTCTCCTCCTTGAATGAATTGAACCGCGAATGGTCCAATCCATGCTTTTCCGAAAATGCGCGGTCCAAATCACCCAAAGCTTTCTGCGTCTTGGCGGCTATCCAATTCGTCGCAGTTTGAACCGGGCTGCTAGTACGCGGCCCCGAGGACGATGCCGCAGGAGAAGATGAGGAACTACGGGAAGATGTACTACTAGACGCACCACTCCTCCTCGTCCCTCCGCCAGCTGAGGACATGGCCAGAGTCTCGCTCGCCAGGGATAGGCCGTCGTAGTCGGTCCGCACCGCGCTGTCTTGCAAATGGTACGCAGTCGGTTTCATGCGTGTGCGATACTTTTGCACGGAGTAGTCGCTTTATTTGATGGTTTATTTCCACTGCGCGGAAGATCATCGCCTCCTGCTGCGAAATCCACTGGCTGCTCTCGTGGAACTAGGAATGTGGGATTCTCAAAGTCAAACTCAAATGTAAATGTTACATATACATTTACATTCTCAAGCTCAACTGTTACATGAGTTTCAATTTGTCATGCAAAGCCAAAAGTTAAAGCACCACTGCAGCTGCACAGTCATCTAGTTCTAGATGTAGATCTAGATCTACTTCTACTTCTACACGAAGACGATGACGAACACGATCGAGCTGTTCTGCATGACAAATTCTGGAAGGGCCACGCGGGCTTATAGTCTGTGCCAAATCTGTCATGCAAGACGCGCAAAGGGGGCCCCTTTCATTCTTCCCATTCTTGCATCACAAATCGAAATCGTGTAACAGTTGAGAAAGAGAATGTAACAGTTGAGAACGCCATAAGGAAGTGGTTCCTGTTCTGATCCGCATCTTCTACCCCGTCGGCCGTAACCGTAAGCGCATCCACCCATAACGGCCCGATGTGTTTTTGCAAATAGTCCGGGTACAGGAAAACACTCGGGCCCAGCGCGTTGTCGTCCTCTAAAGATGACAACTCTATTCTTTCTCGCAGTAGAAGTTCATCCTCCGCATTTTTGGGACGTCGTTGATTTGCAGCCTCCTCGTCATTCATTTCTTGTCGCTCCTGCTCCTTCAGCACCCTCGTACTGTCGTGGTCCTGCTGCATCGAAGATGGTGAAACAGGTGCAGCCTTGCTTCGCCCGGCGGCTCGTCGTGCTCCTTGATCATGTGGTCTACTAGGCTCAACATCTGTTTCTGTCGTGTTCTTGTGGCTGTTTCTACTACTCCCCTCGCTGTTCATCCCCTTGGCGGCCCCTTGAGGATGTATTTCTGCTGTTGAACTACTTCTACGAAAAAAATTTTCCAATTTCTCCCGCTTCCATTTCTCGTACCCGTAGTCAGTGGCTATCGCGGTCCGGCGGAGGTGGCTATCGCGGTCCCCCTGGTGGGAGTAGGGCTAGGGAGCACCGTCATCTTTTCTTCTTGCGAAGAAGTAGAAGAGAACACGTCGGCAATAGATTGTGAGCGGGGCGTTGCACTCACCGAAGATTGTGTCGGTCGGAAGAACGAGGCGTCAGCGCACAAAAGGGCATCGTGTTTAAAGAACAAAAAAGCTGCTGTATTACCACCACCCTAAACTTAAACTTTAACTTTAGATCAACACTACAACAATCACCAGACCGCAGAAGCAAGAGTTTACGAATGGTCTCATACATTGCGTTTCGCTCGCTGACAACGTAGTACCTCGGCATGGCCATTTAACTCTCCACTCGTAAACTTCGCCCTCTCTGCTGCGCTCACAAAAAACGCCATCGAGTGCAACACGATCTCAAACTCGAACTCGATGCCGAAAAGCAAAAACGACAACACAGCCTACCTGCATCTCTCTCCCAATGAAAATGTAAATGATGATGCTCCAGCACCAGCTCCAGCTCCCCCCCCCGAACATGAGTCCGTGTCCGACTTTGCGGCGCGCCCGGCCTTAGGAAAGGAACCGCGGGCGACACGATGGAGAGGAGTCCATCGTTGGAGTTGAAGTTTGCTACGCCCTGCGACAGGGCACCTGCCACGCAACTGCGTGGCGAAAATTATATTTGCAGCAAGGGCCGCAAGGGCTGCCACGCGCTTCCGTGCTGTCGCGTGTGGCGCCACGAAGTGATTACTGTTTTCTTTCTGGGCTGCCGCATGCAGTGCGTTGCACCTGTAGCTAGCGGCGCCCCCGACAGGTACATGAACAGGAAGCGCGCGGCGAAGCGTGCGCAGGGGGGCGCGGAAAGCAGTGGCTGTGCGTGCCAGTGCCGGCGCCAGTGGCCCCCCTAACTATGGCACCGGAATAGCTGCTGCTTTTCCGGCGCCTGCGCGGCAGCGAAAGCGGCCCGCCCAATGCGCCCGAGCGACGCAGGGCAGGCCTAGGTATACGATACGGACGGGGCGCCGCGCCACCCCCCGCTTTCGTGGGGCCCAGAGAATAAACGGCGGCCGGAGGGGCCCGGGCCCGGCCGCCGGGGGGGCCAGGGTGGCCAGAAAAAAAAGAAGGCGGGGCGGGCCAGTTTCTTGTGGTCCCGGTCGACGATCGACTTGTCCGGTTGTAGCCACACTAGCCCCTTCCCCGCCTCCGGGCCGGATGTTCTTTTTCCCCTTCTCCAGCCGGTTTTCCCACCACTGCATCTGGAGAAGGGCGCGGGCGTGCGGCTGGTCCAGAAGACGAAACGAGGCAGGCCCCCAATGCCGTCGCTCCGCTTCGGCCCAAGTTTCCCTCATCGACGTGCACCTTCGCCGTTCCATTCTTGTTGAGGGTAATGCCGCTGCCCGCCAGAACAGCTTCTCGGCCGCTAATTCTCGGCCGGCCCGTGCTTCACCACCTCCACGGTGAAAGGCTCCGCGCTTTCGACTTTTGCCCGCGCCATTGTCGAACCACGCCTGCAGCGCAAACAACGCGCTGTCGTCCGCCAGTTGCGACCACGGGAAGGA